GGTTTCGCTAGTATTGTCCAGTTTCGCCAAATATCGTCCAGTTTCGCCAGTTTCGTCTTAGTTTCGGATTATCGGAAGTTTCGGATTTTCGTTCTTGAAAGCCGAAACGTTTCGACCTTAAGATTTTGGTTTCGCCCACAACTTTATATTTCACAATCAAATAAATTATTATCTCAAATTGACATTCGTTAGCATTTTTGTAAGACCGGACAAATCGATATTTTGATAATCAATCCAGATTTTCTAATAATTGATAACGGATTCATGCTTTTATGAAAATTTTAATTATATAACCTACGTATATATTATTTAGTAGTTCTAAGAAGCCTATATTGGTAAGTATTGATAATTTCATAATTTTGGCAAATTTTGGCATTAGTTATTTATTATACTTAATAAATAAATAAATAATAATATATATTTGTTCCATTAATTCAATAAAAATTTGTCTATCATTAATTTTATAAACCTATAAAAAATCTATCTCATGTTTTTTGATATTTGTGGGAATTTACTAAGTTTTAGTTTAATAAAGCGATGTTTTAATAACGAGTTCAAGTCATTACATTACAACACTTAGTAATTTGTTGTAATATCAAAACAATTACGTCAAAATTTTAAGAATCGTGACTTGCATTGAACTTCATCAAAATTTGGATCGAACGCGAAAATATTAGTTCTTTTACGAAGCAATTTTATTAAACTTTAATAACGATTCTAAAGCATAGAATCAAAAATACGAATACATTCTACTTTTTACAAACCAACTTATTACAGTAGAAACTGGCAATACGGCATTTCGTCTTTTTGGATTTTTTAGTTTTCTCTTTTAATGATTCTATCTCTGCTTCATTTTCACTTTTAACATTAGCTAAAGCAGATATATGTTCATTTTTAAATTGATCTAATAATCTAATGTAAGCACTATTTTGTTGCTTAACTGTTTCTTCCATTTCTTTAAATTTGTTTGAATATTCTTGTTCAATTTGTTTACGTTCTTTTTCTAATTTATCGATTTTCTTTTCCATTTCTTTTTCTCGAGCAGTATGTTCTAAAACTTTTTGTTCAGCTTCATGAGTTTTTTTAAGTTGTTTTGTCCATTTATTGTCGAAAGCCTTCAACGAATTTAATTTTATGATCGCTTCTTGATATTCATGAGATTTAAAATTCGCTTTTATCATATCTGTTTCTGGGCAATCTATCATTAAAGTAATTAACATATTTTTCTCAAAAATTTCGATCGCATCATTTAATTCCCCTTTGGTCTATCAATTTTAAAGAAAATTAGATTCAACGTTTAAGAAAGGAAAACATAATAAAGTAAATAAACACAAATTACATTTACCTTAAAGAAATTATTGAAGGAGAGACCAACTTTTACATGATCATCCCATAATTTTTTAGCCAATTTCATATTATACTCATATAAAGTCAAAGAATTTGATTTACGATTTTCTTCAAAATTTTCATTGATTAATTTATTTAATTTGAATTCCGATTTCCTTATATGATCTCCATTTCCAATGATTCTTTTAAAAAATATTTTTTCAACTTGTGCAAAAACTTCCATATGAATTTCATTAAACTCTTTCCAATTAATTACTTTAAC